CACTGTCCATGTTTGGCCCTACAGGCTGATATTTTCTGTTTCTGTGCGCCACTCACTGTCCATGTTTGGCCCTACAGGCTGATATTTTCTGTTTCTGTGCGCCACTCACTGTCCATGTTTGGCCCTACAGGCTGATATATTTTCTGTTTCTGTGCGCCACTCACTGTCCATGTTTGGCCCTACAGGCTGATATTTTCTGTTTCTGTGCGTCACTCACTGTCCATGTTTGGCCCTACAGGCTGATATTTTCCTATTCTGTGCACCACTCACTGTCCATGTTTGGCCCTACAGGCTGATATTTTCTGTTTCTGTGCACCACTCACTGTCCATGTTTGGCCCTACAGGCTGATATTTTCTGTTTCTGTGCGCCACTCACTGTCCATGTTTGGCCCTACAGGCTGATATTTTCTGTTTCTGTGCGCCACTCACTGTCCATGTTTGGCCCTACAGGCTGATATTTTCTGTTTCTGTGCGCCACTCACTGTCCATGTTTGGCCCTAACAGCACAAAGTGAGGGTGAAGATTATTCATCTGTTGTTTTGTTGAAAGGGGACATTTGGGTGTGTGAGCAGTCACAATAGCTCAAATGTGATAGCATTTACAATTTTGACTCTATCTATCATCTCAATAAATAAAGGATGGAAAAACAAGTTCTTCTTGCAAGAGAGGCATGTTTCAGATCCTTGGCATTTGAAAATGAAGGTGTAGGTGCTATATGACCAATAAACTGGCAAAATAATCACAAAAGTTACCCAGGAAAGAATATTTATATTATGTAAACATCTTTTATGGATGTGGAGGTCAAACAGAAACTATCCCATTAAAAAATGTATGGGCAGTCAAAAGAAAAATTCAGTTGTTTATTCAAAAAAAAGCCTTCAGACTGAAATGCCTTTAGACTTCTTTTAACCATAACAACATAATTAGAACAAAATAAGAGCTGTAAGTAGATTAAGTAGTATAAATTCTTTTCTTGAAACAAACAATTTGATAGCAAAATTATTCCTATTGAGACAACACAAATTATCTGGCTACACTAACAAATTCTTTTCTACATTTTGTTGACATCTGTTCTTGGTAAAATATTTTTTGAAAAACTTTTCTATCAGAAAAATGGCCGCAAAAATGCTCTGTGCAGTTAGAGTCCAGCACTAGAGTGACACAGTTAACGTTAAATGACACACACTGTGATACTTACAAAAGTGTTTAAGCTTCACAAACAATATTAATAACTATCACAAATACAATAAAGAGATAAATCATGACATTTAATTAGATTCATTTGATATACCTCTGCAGGAGAGAAACCATATATAAATTCCTGAAAATATTGAATCCAAATCTTTCAGCCTTGAATGGAGAATCCAGCATCTGTTCTTTTTCGTTTAATATCTTACATGTTGCCCATCACGTCATGTGTTGAGAAACACATCAGGGGTAGAGACAGAACCACAAACAAAATAACAATTATTTCCAATCTTGCCATGGCTCAACATTATCATGTAGCAGGTCCTTTGCAGAACATCGCTCTCATCACGGTCCACCTTAAATAAACTCGGTCTCTCGCCAGCTCTCCCGCCTCACATACTTTCATACTCAAGAAGTCACTTATATCCTGTGCCTATCTTCGTGCTGGTCGGCCCCTGCCCCTCCTTCTGCCAGTGATGCTAAGTTTTCCCTTATACATGCTCCTAACATTCCATGTTCCTAACTTTCAAGTTTTCCTTAGAGCGGTGACAGAGTTTTCTGTTGTAGTACCATCGGGCTTAAGGCCATCATCACAACTACCTTTACTTGCTCTGCCCTCATTCTCTTCCCCAGTTTGTGTCTGTGATCTGCCTGGAAATTGCTACTGTCCAGAAATTCACAAAGATAAGGCACCAGCGAGCTAACAAATAAACAGTACGAAGACCTGTACATGAATGTTGCAATGATAAATGTAACTGGTGTGCTCAATTCAAAGTAACTTCAAAAATAGATAACAATGAAAGCCATTAAAAAGAAAATTCAAAAGAAACTCCCCCCAAAAAAGTAAAAAAGGCCACTGAAAAAACTGTCATGAAAAGTTAAATCTGCAGTTATCTTATCCAATATGATATCATTGAAAATACTTATTCTAAAAAGCTACTCACTAACAGACATGTTTTATTCAATGAAACCACAATGAAACCTTTTATCTAACATTTATTTTATTAACTATGTCAGGGTCCGCTGCGGCGTGGTGGCTAGACGCTCGCCTCTGGATCTGAAGATCTTGGGTACAAGTACAGATGGAAATAAAACTTTGTTTAAACATGACCTTGGCTCCCAGGTTGACCTAGCCTTGAGTGAGTACCAGGTAAAATCCTAGGAAGTAAAGCTGGCTGGCATGATGTTGACCACAAAGGTCAATAAAGTATAGGTCCAGCACTAAATACTCAATATGCCTGAAGGTGTGGGAAAGGGTCCTTTACCTTCTTTTACTTATGTGTGTTTTACTTATGTGTGTTTTACTTATGTGTGTTTTACTGATGTGTGTTTTACTTATGCGTGTTTTACTGATGCGTGTTTTACTGATGTGTGTTTTACTGATGTGTGTTTTACTTATGCGTGTTTTACTGATGTGTGTTTTACTGATGTGTGTTTTACTGATGCGTGTTTTACTGATGTGTGTTTTACTGATGTGTGTTTTACTGACGTGTGTTAGTGGTGAAATGTATCTTTAGTTCTTCTCTCTGAATGTCCAGTTGGATAGCTGACTGTTTCTGTGTCTGTAAAGGGCATGAGACAGAGAAAGTCACTGAGAAGATTTCAAACAACTACAGCACAAGCTAGCTGAAACTGTAGCAATTAAAGGTGTGAGTACAAGTATCATCCCAGAAATGAAATCAGCTACAGTTAGTGAATTAAAAATAAGCACATTCAAATGATTAAGTTTGTGAGTATATGAGATTGCAAGGCCTTGGAACTTAGAAGATACACATATCAATACCAAAAATGTAACCAATAAATAAATAGTGTGCAAATAATGTACAAATATCATGACTATGTTGAAATATGAAAACCTAGTTTTAACCAGATATTTTTAAAAACTAAGAAAGTCATCCATTACACGATGCATTTTCTATACTACTTTCAAAGCATCTAATCTACAAGGGTATGTACAATAACTGGTTCAGGTTTACTTCTCAGTAAATAACATGCTAGAGGTTTGTCTCCTGTTTATGCTGCCATGGTTGCAGTTTTCATATTTTGAAACATAAAAGAAAAAACCATACAGATTACTACTGTGAAACTGCAGTGTTATCAAAATGTATTTTATAACCGGTCCGAATATGGGACGCAATTTTTCATTATCTCAAAAGCCCCAACCCGGCTGTAGTTGGGGGCCCTAATTTAACCTAATGGTTGAACGGAGTTTCTGGGACTTGTGCCCAGGTGGGGTTAAATCATAAACGTACATACATGTATTTTATATACATTTAGGTATAGATTAATAACAGCACATTTAAAATAAAAACGAAATAATCCATTTTGACGACATGAGGGGTATTTGATAAATGGTGTTAGCTCCATATTTTTATGGACCAACTGGCACTGGGTGGATTATGTAGACAAAATCAAGTCAGCCACTTTTACTTTCCAGAATATTTCCTAGTACCCATTTTAATTGGGTCTACTTTGAGAGTCAAGGTCACACTTTTCAATTCCTTCATCAAGGGGCTTCCAAAGATAAGAAAGACTACCTAGCCTGCGAGCAAGTATGCCAAAAAAGATGATGCAGAGTTTCTGCTTTGGTAAAGATGCAAGGAAAATTTGCTTTTATTGATGTTTTAAACACTTAGAGTATAATAAAAAAAATAATAAAACAATAATAATAATACTTCATACAATGAAAGTTAGTATTTTACCGAATGGTCATCATCTTCAACTTTTTATGTCAAGCGTCTTTGGGAGGAATAGCTGATGGTCCAGCACTGCCTGTTCAGGACTATCAGGCTTTCAGTCACGGATCTAATTTCACAGCAATAGGATAACCCCCATCGTTGCTTCGTTCCTCTGTCAGTGAAAATGCCTAAAACTGTCCCTTGTGAAAAGTCAGACTACCGTCCTGACCCAAATTCCAACAGCCTGTACACACAATAAATCATAAGGTAGTTGCCAAATGCTACAACACCAACAGTCTGCTATCAGAATAGCAAATTCACCACTGATGGAAGCAGCAGTCATAACAAACTAGCAGGTGCACATGTATTTCTGCACAAGGCATACCGCCAGTTCTGTGGCAACCAGCTAAATAATAAATAATTTTCTGAATCTATATTTCACAACACAAATTACCATGAGCATGGACCCAAAAAAAAAACATTTTACATGGCTATTATCAGTCCACATGAATATTTTCAATTTTGCCAATCCATCTTCTTCTTGGGCGTTCCCTTGGTCTCATATAAGATTTTCTCAGTTGTAGCAGAATTTTCTAGAAAAATAGGTTTCAGCACTTACCATAAAGCGTCTAAATAAGGTGCCAGTATTTCACCACAAAGAGTCTATTACAGTAGCGATGAAAAATATTGTGCCTAAAAAGGTGCCTGTGCTGCAAGCCGTTGCGCACCATCAGACAAAAAAAAGCCCTTGGTGTAGTGCCTGTGCTGGTAACTCGTTTTGCTGCATCCTAGCAATATGTCCAAAATGAATGATCACATGATATAAACCATGATATTTCTGCTTATATGATGTCCAGGAACAAACACACTCACACAAAACAGTGACAAATGGCTCAGGAAGTCATTTTGCATAATTGAATTATAAAATCAACAATTATTGAAAATAATGGTGGGAAATATTGTAAGGAAAAGGAACTGTCAACATTTTAAAATAACATACATAAACTGACTTTATCTGTCATCTCAATGATTAATAAATCATTTCAAGTAGACAAAACCATTTGAATGGAAATATCCAGAAAGTGCAAATGTCCAACAGGTTTCAACAAAAGGGGAGAAAACATTATCTTCATTTTAAATCTTATCATATCCTGAACTTCCCTTGCAGCATTGAAATGTGAACACAAAACCATCCTGTGGAGGAAAGAAAGAGCATTTAACTTAGACAGTTTTTAACCACTGTTTACTGAACTGCTCTTGACAATGTTAACATGATTTCCAACACTATGGCTTATCCCCTTTAGGATTCAACTGACATGTTTGTGGTACTTTTTAATTCACCGGCTGTAAATTCCAAGAGGAATTTCTAGTTGTTTATCCACTTCTGGACTTTAGTCTTATTCTTGAGTTCTGTATGCATGCCCATTTTACAAATCTGGCTTATTTTTATGCAGACTGTTGATTCCTCATCTCTCAAACAGATACACTACAACTTTGAAGGAAATTTTGGAAACACCCTTAATTAGTCACCTCCTAGGACATGCTTGCAGAGGGAAAATGATGGGGCCTTGAAACCCACACACTGAAACTGCTTTGTTTAAATACACACATTTTATGACTATATTCTTCTATCAGCTGTCAGTATATTACAGATACAATTTAAATAAAGGACCCTTTACACATCATTGATGAATGAGGCCTATGGTGCTATACCCATACTTTTATAGACTAACTGGTACTTCACAGATGATGTGTTCAACATCATGCCAGTCACCTTTACTTCCCCAAAACATTTTCTGTATCTATTTTAGGCTGGGCTGATTTGAGAGGTAAGATCTTTAATTTCAAAATCCATTTCAATGCGAACTCGAACCTAAGATCGCAGCAACTGCAAGGCAAGCTGTCAATAACATTTTATAAATACATCAGACCCTAATCTCATAATCAATATATTGCCTATGGTTAACTATTATCAACAGGCATCTCTGCCATTACCAGTCCTAAGCCTGGATGAGAAAGGAGGAGGGCTGGGCACAGGGCTAGTTCCTGCACCCTGTAAAAATGGTTTCTTACAGAAACTTGCAGGAAAGGTTGCCATTCCCGTAACAGAAAGAATGGAATGGAGAAATTGACTGAAAGCCCTATGTGACAAATAAAGGCACAACAGGATAATGAATTAACTCTAGAATATAAGCGAAGCATGTAACATGACGAGATAAAGAAAGAAAACAAAGAACAGAAGAATTAACACTCCCCCATCTTGTTTTTTTCTTCTTCTTCTTCGTCTTCTGCATTTGCCCTTTAAAGAGCAGCTGGCACACTGTATTGAGGTTTACAGCTAGAGTGTGATATCTGTGCCTTTCGACCCAATGCACCTAATTTCATCAAACTCTTAGTAGTCACCTTCCACTAAATGTTTGTTAAGGATTAGTGGGTCTATTCTTGATTCTCCACAACGGGGCCCCTGAATGAGCATGGGAGCTATGTTATTCAATTCTTTTTTCATATTTTTCATCTCTATTTCTCCACCTCTTTTGCCATGTGGTGTCATAATGAAAGGTCATTCTAGTTTACTTATTATCAGATTTTCAGTTTTTTTTTTCTATCTAGCGCCAAAGCCTTTCCTCTCTGCTTAATTCACTGAAATTAGTTTACATTCTCCAAAAGCTCCACATTAGCGATTGTGTCAGTTTTATTCCTTCTATTCTGTGCAGCACCCTATGTAAAAGTGTGTAGTTTAATAATCATTATGTTAGCCATTTTTCATGATTTTGTTCCATACAGCAGTACTGAATTGATATTAGAGTTTACGATTCTAAATTTTAGTAAAGAGTTTAAGAAAAGGCCTCAGCATGAACAAGACAAAGACATAAGTAATGGTAATAGCAAAGAAACTAACCTTGCCTGAATGTATAGTAAAAGTCAAAGGCGTTATTTTGTGACTAGTATTGAAATTATGTGCAGCGTCTGTGGCTTAGGCGTTGCAAGTCCGACTCGTAATCCAGCGTACCGCGATCAAAACCCACTGCTGGCTGCGTGGATTATTATCATGGTATGGGGCGTCGTAGGTTGACCCAGCCTAAAATGGGTACCAGGATGGGCTGTCCTGGGAAAGTAAAGACGGCCGGCGTAATGCTGACCACATTACCAACCGAGTGCTGATGGTCTGTAAAAATATGGGTGCTCTTCCCATATGCCCGATACGCCTAAAGGCGTGGAAAGGGATCTTTACTTTACTCTTTTTTAGAAATTATGTATCTAGGCACATGGATAACATCCAATAGAAAAAGAATCACAGAGATAAAGAACAGAATAGGACAGGTGAAAACAGCATTTTGTAAAATAAAGAACATCTTATACAATAAATGTCTGTCATAGGGTACACAGGGTGGTTGTTCGGGACTAAAAGCGTTAAAATAGAATTTGTTCAATTATTTGTTATTTGCTTTGACAATTTGTTTTCAGAAAGCTCTTTTAAAACTAAGAGCAATCAAACATATTTTTGCATTTATTCAGAAAAGCATACATAATTCAATATTTAGCTTACCTTGACAAGAAATGGAAAATCTTTCCAAAAGACATAGTTGGGAATGATCTCTACACCCTGAGCTTTCCTTATAAATTTTTGGAAAAGAAGACCTCCCAGTATATACACAATTAAAAGCACGAAGAAACTGAAATAAAATAAGAAAAATAGGTGTAAATTATTCAATCATGAATGATGATCTTCATTATTACATCTGTAATCACACAGTGGCATAGTGGGTAGTTTGCTTGCTTACCAAGACAATGGTCCAGGTTCGTCTTTTTAATGCTCAGCAGCTGTAAACACTGGCAGAAAATCCAGATTGTTTATCTACTTCTGGACTTTTGTTTTATTTCAGGACTTGAGTTTTGCATGCACATCCATTTTAAAGATCTGGCTTGTTTGTGTCTCGACTGTTGGTTTCCTGCCTTCCAGGCAGATGCACTCTGATTTCGAAGAAAAGACTGAAGCTATGTACGTTGGTCAGACCCCAGGGGGAGAACTGTTTCTAGGATGACCACAAAGAGGTGTAGATAGCTCTTGACTAGTATGAGCCCTGGTCGGGGTGTACCAACATCCGTTGTTCCCAGTCTAGGTTCAATCCCTGGAGTGGCAGTATTATTGTTTCCTACCAGTAAGGCTACATTGTTGACCCAGTCTTATGAACTAGGTAAAGCATAATTTTGGAATCCTCTAAGAATTGTCTGGATAGGATAGAGAGTAAGGTATTGATCATGTCATCTTATTATGTCATGATTTAAAATAAGTAAATTCCACTGCACTTCATACGTTAATGCCACTCTGTCAGGTTTGAAATTGATGTTTAGTACTAAAGGAAACTGATGTTTATTTTGGAAAAATGATTTGATCAATGTAGCTATGAAGCTATTACTATTCTAAGCATCCAAACATTAACAGAACTAAAACAATTACTGATAATCTCAAAACATACATTAGCTGGAGCCTGCACAGATAGATGGCATTTAAATGGTATGACAGAATCCATAATGTGGAACCCTGGAAGGAAGCAAACAAATTCTACTGAATCAAGAGGTGAAGAAAAAATGCTGGCGTTGGGGGACACTATCTGAGAAAACAATATAATGTCTTTACATTGGAACTCCTAGGGGGCAGAGGGGGGAAAAAAAGAAGGCAGACCAAAAATACCAACATGGAGAAAGCAGCTAGAGAGTGGAGTTAAGAGATGGGGACGACATGGGGGTGAGCTGCATGCAACAGCAAAGGATCACACATCTTGGCATGAGATGGTTGAGGGCCTTCACTACATTGGGGAAATGAAGGGCAGAAAAAGAACTATTACTAATGAGAACAGTCAAATGTGTATATCTGATCTAGAAACAGGATAAATAGTATGAGAGTAAGCATCAAAACAAGGGGATAACAAAATTGGATAAACAGCAGTCTCTCTTGTGTGTACAGCCAAAATAAAAGACAAAAATAGTGGAGATTCAATGCAGAAAAGAATGATAGACACAGTGGTTATTAGTTATTGAATTCTTTGTGTGGGTTTCTCAAGCCCCATTTTGGAGGGATAAAAGAATAGACCACAGCCGCCTAACTAGCATTTCGCAAAAGGCGTTTGCTGAAAATGGATGTGCTGGGTCAAATGGCCAGATATTGCAGCCTTGCTGTAAACCAAGACACAATGTGCCAACCCTTTAACTCTTTCTGGCCCAAATATTGCTCTGTGCTTGATTGGGTATAATTTATGTGTACCACTCAACATGTTATGTTTTCACATCTTAGGTTTAGGGAGGGACTCTGAACAACTCTGATTACATATTCTGCAAGGGTTGTATATTTGGTCCCTTTGGAAGTAGTATACTTGGGAGTTTAGCATTGTCATTTGTAACTGTCTCAAATACTAGCTAGAATAGTGTGGCACTGAAAGAAATAATGATGAATACAGAAAAAGAAGAAGTTCATGATTAAAGGAAATAATATCACTGCACCCAGGACATGCCTAAAACTGCATTGCAGACATATATGTGTATGAATGCTAATCACCTCCATCATGCTCTAAGAGGAGGAACTGAGGGATAAATACTTTTAAGCTCCAAGAAGAGAGGAAATAGGATCATTAATATTCAGTTTGATCAGATGTTATGATTACTACAGCGTGAAATGACGAAAGTGTATGTCAGGAATCTACTTGGATAAAAAGTGTTTGTGTCAGGTATTTACTCATATATTTAAATATACTCTGTCAACAACAGTAGTGATTGTATGGCTAATCTTGTACTTCCGTTACCGAATAACAAGAGAAAATGTGATATGTGTATGTGTGTTGAAAGGATTCATGCTCCGTCTGAGCTTCATTAAATGTTGACGTAAACTGTGGCAATGCATTTCGGTGCAGTTAATTGAAATACGCCAGGTAACAAATTGTGTAATATACTGTTTGTTTCATCATTATTTAAATTTACAACAAAAAAACATTGTTTTGAAAAATCTTTATTGCCTGTTTATAATGTCTGGATATTGATATCCTCCGATGTGAGTTCCGGGGCCCTAATTTGGGTGGAAAAAAGAACAGACTCACTACCCCCCAACTAGCATGTCGTAACAAGTGAGTAGCGAGGAACCAACAGTATGCATACAAATAAGCCTAATCTGTCAAACAGATGTGCATGCAAAACTCTAGTTCTGGAGCAAGACCAAAGTCCAAAAGCGGAAGAACAACTAGAACTTTCTGCTGGAGTTACAGCCAGTGAATGCTAAGAAGAAGAATACTCATATCTGAAAATGAAATCTATACATGACTGAACAATGATGTCTGAACATGACAGTATAGAAATGTTTGAAAGCTGAAAATGACAGTCTATAGAAGTCTGAATAATAATGTTTGACCAAAAATGACACCTATAAATGACTGAATAATGATGTCTGAAAATAACATCTATAAATGAATGAATAATGATGTCTGACATATGACAATCTATAAACGTGAATGGTACAGACGTGTTTCCTGAGATCTACATAGACATATTTAATTAAGTGATTTCCTTGTAAATATGTTCTTCACTTTCGTGCACTGATGTGACTTACAGACAGTGAACACAACAGTTTGACAAAGCTTACATTATCACCATAACTGAGCCAGGACTCAGGCCACCTTCATTTTTAGCTCCAGCACAAATGTGTCTTGTTGCTAATGTGAATTTCTGTCAAGAGAAGAACATAAAATATCAAACCATAACATTTAAATTAAAAAAGGAAAAGGAAAAGAAAAAGAAAGGACTTGTTTCATGCCTTTAATTGATGTTAGTATACCATTTTTATAGACCAGTCAGCATTCAGTGGGATGAGTCAGTCTCTTGCCAGCCACCTGAACTTCCCATAGTGTTTCCTGTATCAACTTTAAGTTGCATGAACCTGGGAGTCTTAAGTTAATGTACATATTAACCTTGATAGGAATAGAACTTGTAATCTTCTCCTTTGGATTCCTGGGTCCCATTTGAAAAGTGGAAGTGGGGGAGGGGGGGGGGGGGGGGGGGGAGGGGAAATAGACCCACTGCTCCTTAACCAAGCATGTCAGAAAAGCTGAATAATTAACTGTTTACTGAAACTGTATGTGTTAAGCTGAAAGATGCAGATATTGGAGCCGAGCTGTAATTTAAACCCCAACATACCAATTACCTTTTTTAGGGTAAGGTAGAAATCTAGCAGGCAAGTGAGCCAGTCACTGCACTATCATGGCTTACAGTATTCTTTTATATATTCACATATGGTTAATGACTTTTAATTTATATTTTAGAAGAAAAAAAGTTAGTTGTGTATCCTTTACAGGATGTTGCACACCAACTCCAGCAGCTGATGGCTGTTTTGAGTTTTAAAAGGCAAGTTCTATGTTCAGTAGTTTGCCACTGCTTCTGAATGGTCAATGCTCAATAATACTGCAAACCAGTCTGCTGCCAAATCACCTGTAGCTGAAGAACTAGATTTCTGTGTGAGCAACTGCCTAAGCCATAGAAGCTGAAATTGTAATTGTTTAGCATATAAAAGCAGAATATAACAATCATGAGCCAAATATACTGACAAACTATTCAGTCTCTCTGTGTGATGCATACCCTTGACAAATGTACCAAACAATTTTTTATCTATTGTCTTCTTCACTTTTACCGGGTTGCAGCCCAGTGTCATGGTTTAAAATGTTTGTTTTGTGCCTCTCGCGTGATTTGAGTGACAGTTTTCTGGATCTTCTGGTCGTATTCAGCTACTCTATCTATCCATTTTTTCCTGGGTCTTCCTCTGGCCTTTCTTCCCGATGTTCTACTGTAAAAGGTCTTATAGGCAATCTGATCCGGTTGCATTCTTACTAAATGGCCAAACCATTTCATTCTCTGTCTTTCAATATGTTTCATGCATGCTCTTGTTCCAACTTTGTCTCTAATGCTGATGTTTGTGACTCTGTCTCTTCGTGTATTGTTGGTGACTCTTCGGAGACATCGCATTTCACACGTAGTTAACAATTTTTTATTATAGGCGAAAAATGAAGCTGACTGAGCTTAATTCTTACAGGATCAAAATATGACACTCCCTGTGTTGGTTCCTGGGGCCCCATTGTGGGAGAATAAAGACCCACTGCCCCCCTATTGAGCATGTCGTAAAAGGTTGACTAATTAAGGCTTTTCCTTTGAAGTCAGAGTATATCTGCCTGAGGGGCAAGAAACCAAAAGTCTACATACAAATAAGCATGTCTGTTAAATGGATGTGCATTCAAAACTAGGAGTTTGCAGCTGTTGGACACTAAGAAGAAAAAGAAGAAGAAGAATATATTACACTTATCAAAATATTAGAGCACAAGATTCACATAATTTGTTCTTGCTATATAAACAGTGTGTCGGCTCTGTGGCTAAGTCGATGCGAACGCTTCGTAATGCCGGGGTACCGGGTTCGATCCCAGCTGCGGGCCATACGCCTTGCGTTGGTTTCGACAGTGGTATCAGGGAGCCAACCGTCCAGACAACAATGGCAAACTACTGGACGTAACTTTGCCTAGTGAAACCACACAAGAGCCAGGGGCTGATGGGGTTGGTTCTGCAACGTCCTGTAAAGGATACGCAACTAACCTTTATATAAACAGTGCATACCGTTATCTGATTCTGGTGTACAGATAGGCTAAAAGCATTTTGCAAATTACTTACAAGTTTGTTAATTATTTAATGTCATAAGGTGTAGGTAATTTTAGCAGTCAAATCTCTGATTTTATTTAAGGTGACAGAATGCTGGGAATATACACATGAAATGTAGTTTGTGGAACTACTTTGGTAATGCTGTGGATTCAGCAGCTTATATCTGATGGGGTAGGAAGCTGAGAAAAGCTGCCCAAAGACTAACTGATGGTTTCTGACCCGATGGTTTATGAACAGTCTCAAATTATTCATTGTTGGATACTGAAGGAAAAAAAAGGACAAGCATAAATACTGCTCCAATGTTCTGTGCTTCAACTAGAATTTATCAGCTGCTGTGTATGTGTGTTTTGTGGTAATTTTAGGTATAAATCTAAATTTACTGCGCAGAGTGGCATTTCAAGGAAAGACAAGCAACAAGTTTTTACTGTGGGTAAATTCACAGCTCTGCTTGGAGAGTAGATGGAGATCAAGCCATTGAAAAAATACCATTACTGCCTCCACATCAAACAAAAACAGAGATATCACACAGCCTTTTATGAAGAACACTGGAAGGACATAAACCTCCATATAAATTTGGTCAGACATGGCATAGTAATGTTTAACACTTGAGAAGAATTACATGTATTATATTTGTAGCTGTCTAGTGTTCTTAAATTGCAATACCCTTTAATCTTTTAAGTTTCAGTGAATACCTATTTATTTATCTTTTTCAGATAAAATACAGATATATTCAGCATGATTTTTAATCTGTTCTTCCTCTTTCTATTATTGAGTGAGTTGAAATTTTTTTTTAAATGCCTCTATACTTTTTTAACACAATACAAAATACTGCAGCAGATAACTTCTTATATAGCATCTTATTGACACTAGTGATATCTGTCTTCCTGTGAACGTAACTTTAGATACATCATACACAGTAAGCTTTTAACCACATCTCCAATGGATTTTAACCCTTTTAGCACGGGAAGTTTTTCAGAGGTCTAGCCAAAAACATGGAGCATTTTTTCAGTGAATTTGGTTATTACTTTATTTAATTTTTTTGACAGATTTCTGTTATTCTGACCCCTATGAAATAATATATCTATTTGAAGGATATAGATTGAAGTTCGTGATTTTCACAATATCGTTAAAATTAATTGATGTATATGCAAATTATCTCATTTGCATATCTAAAAATAGAAAATATGAATTTGAATTTTCAACTTCAATGCTTGAAACATAAAACAAAAAACAAAAATTTTTTTTATTTGAAATACTTTTATTGATATTTTGGCCTTTTTACAAATGTTGTAAGCAATTCAAAAGTCAAAAACAGATATATATATGTGAAACAGCAATAATATCTTTAGGTGACATATGTTTTTCACCATCAGTCAGCACTAGAAATGGATGTGCCGGAGTGTCAACACCTTCGGGTGGATATACCCTGAGCCATGGTTGGGCTGTGGTCTGAACACAACAGCGTCCTTATCTGATTCCCACTATTACTACTAACACTAGATCCTGCATCAGTATCAACAGAATTAGTGTCATCACTTGATTCAAATGTTTTATCAACATCAAGTTTAGGGGCAGAAACATACGAGTCAGACATACTTTTAGCGGTTCAGGTCACTATCTAAAAAATTCAACAACAATTTTCACTTCGATACCAAACACTCGAAAGTCGCCATGTGTAAAGCTGATACCGCAGTTAATATAAATGAATCACTTTCAGTGTTTCAAAGTAGGAGATTTCTTAGCGGTTCGAGGTGAAACACGATCGGGCCGATCATCGGCCGTTCCGTGTTTTTAGCCAGACATCCTCCGGCCGATAATCGGCCCGTCCGTGCTAAGAGGGTTAACATACTTTTTTTTGTCTCAAATCACTTCCACAAACTTTGTGTCATTTGTAACTGAATTTCTTACAGCATAATACTTACATATATGACTGGAGATGGTGGTTTATTACTACCCTGATAGGTAAACTCTCCATCCTGGTCTGAGCATTTGACAGTCAGATGCAACGTGCTGGAAAAATATAATAAAATTTAAAAAATATTTTTAAATAAAAAATGTAAAAACAATTTTTTTTAATTAAAAAATAAAAAAAAATTTTAAAATTAATTAAAATACAATAAAGAACCTTTTTTATGCTATTTGTAATGATGCTATAAATAAGGATGACGTCAGGGGTTGACTGGCATAAAAAAGACAAGAGTCAGTGAGTCACATGTGAATGCGAGATCTGGGGGATTGAGAATGGGGTGGTCATTCGGTGACTGGGCCCCAGACTGGAAGGATGTGAAGCTGAATATGTGAAGGTGAATCCAGAATGAAGAGTGCACGTGGATCTGAATCAGAGTCGAATTAATGTTAGTGCTAAGCGACAAGACAGGCAGCGCTATTGAATGTTCGTTTAGGCCAGCCGTTGTGTTACACGGTTTGTTTGTTGAGCCAGTCGTGTACATGCCAATGTCCATCGTCTGAAGCATGTCTGGAGACTCAATGCGTGAGCAAGGCGAGATTGCCCGAATGGCGTAAGTTAGTTCATCTGTTGATTCGTGTCTTGTGCTACAGTGACAATAAACCTGTGAAATGTGTCAGCTATTGTTGACCGTCATTTGAAGTTGTGTGGCCGTGGAGAGAAGTGCCGTCTGGTTAGAATGAGCTGTGACCTAACCTCTAGACAACAGAGTCAGTGTTGAGTCTGCACTAGAAAGATCAACTGTGGAGGAGACACAGTGCATTCATTACACTATTGGTACACTTGGTATACGTTGCTAAACGCAAATTTTGTATATGCCTATCAGCACTTGATGGATATTGTGGTCAACATCATGATGGCTGCCTTTATTTACCAGGAATGTCTTGTACTCACTCATTTCAGGCTGGGTCAACTGGACAGTCCTTCTATCAATCAATCAATTAATCAGTCAGGTCCACAATGAAGACTGGCTGCAACAGATCTCTAACACTCTCTGCCTCTGGTCTTGGTTGTACACTCTCTCAAGACTGCTCTTTGCCCATCTCTTGACACTGTCCTCCCACTTGCATCACTGTCTATCTCTTGTTCTCTACCTTTTTATTCAGTATTATTTTTAAAAGATTGTTGTGTCTTTTAATGTGGTTAAAATATTTCAACTGTCTCTTTTAAAAAATGTTTTTCAATAAATCTCTTTTCCTTTGCAGTCTATCTAGAACCTAAGGGTGCTGAATGGTCTCGGGCATAATGTCTGCCTCAAGTGCTAGAGGTTCCGGGTTCAATCCCCGGTGAGGACTGGGATTTTTTTCACATGGACTTGGACTTCTAGTAATTCACCTTGGTCTCTGGGTAGTGAGATCGAGCACACGTGTGCATTGCTGTGCACGTAAAAAAATCCCTTGGCAGTTGGAAATAGAAAAGAGTAGCCTAACGGCACTGCCTGGGTAAAATTTGGAGTTAAAAATCTACTCAGAGTATTTCAGGTTCCTCGCCGGTGCTACAGAGCCTGTGCACTGTGATGAGATTCTTCGGACTCAGACTTGAGTTAGAAGAAGAAAGGAGCACTTATGGGTTATTACCCGTGTGCCATGATGTTGATCCGTTGTTCAAACCTCAAAATTTGAATTTTTTTGAGTCCATGAAATACAACCTATTATTCTGTATATCCACAATTCCAGAGACTTAATTCAATTTTTTATTTGTGTGTTCATTGTGCAAGTTTCATACTCAACCTAGCAAGGTTGAGAAAACAAAACATTTGAAGATTCTCATTGTAATTGTGTTGTTTACTCTTCTTTTTTCATCAATTCACTGATACTAGGTTGTATCCCAGTGTCATGGTTTTAAGTATTCGTCTTGCACTTCTCAGGTGGCTTGGGTGATGTATTTGTTCATCCTTTTGCAGGTTTTAGCTATACCATTTATCCATCTCCTTCTTGATCTTTCCCTCCCCTTCTTCCCAGAGTTCTGCCGCAAAAAGTCTTGTATGTAGTTTGGCTTACTTCATTCTCACTAGTGGCCGAAGCATAACATTCTTTGTCTGTCGATATAGTTCAGACAGGAACTTGTTCCAACTTTCTCTCTAATGCTAGTATTCCTAACCCTGCCCCTTCTTGTGTTGTTAGTGACCTTAAGGAGACAGAACATTTCACATGTAGTTATTTTCTGTTCTAGTGCCAAACTGCACAGTACATTTTACATGTAGTTATTTTCTGTTCTAGAGCCAAACTGCTTGTCTGCAAAAAAGCAGTTCACTGATTCCTTCAGTGTCTGTATTTGTCTCCTGTGTAATTCTATCCACATAAATAATGAAGCACCTGATGAGGTAGGGAACCGGCCTATTAATCATTCTGTTGCTATTAAGGTGCACTGACTATCCTGATAAAGAGCCATGATGTTACCTGACAGTTGATCTTGAATACTATAATCTTAAGGAATTTTCCATAATCTTCATCTGCTGACTTGATCAATGCCTTCTCTTGATCTATAAATATTATTATTTACTGTTTACTTCTTCTCTAGTTGTCAATAATTTTTGCATCTTATTAAAGACCGACAGTCCTTGGTCTCATTAACTTTGTAGAATTGAACCCAAGACCTCCAGGACAGCAGCTTGCTAGTGTGCTACAACAGCTCCCTATATGACGACTTTACACATTCAGTAAGTTGTTATCTACAAGCTTGTAAAAATAATAATAGTTAGCTTTCTAGATTTGTTACTTGCAATGGATGGCAACTGTCAAACCATTATACCACAAATAAACAAACACAAGCTGAGGTTAGACCAATCTGACACTGTAAATAATTGTACTAACTCTTTCAGTACTAAGCAGGTGTCAATTAAACTTGTTCTATTCTCAGAAGCTGTTTCTTTAACCGACAAATATTCAGGTCTGAGGAGTCGAAATAAAAGTACTGTGGGACAGAAGGGGTTAATCTAAGAACTTTGTCATAATGGTTGAGTGTAACAACTGGATGGCGTCACCAGGTGTTCAGGAAAGTATACATATATATATTTGTATCATATCTGTTGCAACAAATAAATGCAGGGTGAGGTGCTCAATGCCGAATAAGAATTCTAAAGAAAACAAAAGTGAGTAGAACTAGAAGATACTGTTGAAATAAGTCATTAATCTAATTTGAAAAAAGAAAAATAAATTATATGACAACCTTAAGTGAATGTTACCATCTAACTCTTTCAGCCCAGACAAGTAAATTCTTTAACTCACTGGCTGCTAAGCATTTGCTACCAGAACTAATAACTTTTTAGATCCAAAAAGGTTACAATACCAACAAATAGGGACAGAAGAAGTTAAGGCAATATGTAGAATGGCACAGGTCATTATAATAGCTACATGGAGAATGGCTAGTTCAGAAATGCATATCCTATCAGGAGTAGATAGTGAACACCTGGTGAATTAACTAGTATTAAATGAGTTCTTCATTTCCTTCTTGTTTACCGGCTGTAAACTCTGGCAGAGAGTTCTGGTTGTTCATCTACTTCTGGATTCTGGTCCTGTTCTAGAACCTGGATGTGTGTATATCTGTTTTACAGATGGGACTCATCTGTAGGCAGACTGTTGGTTTCTTGCCTGATGAAGCTCCATTAAGTCGACTCTTACGAAATGCTTTTGGGTAGGCATTCTTGGGAACATGTAGCAAACTTGGGCCCATCTACACACTTATGAGTAATGAAGTCAGGCCAGGACACTGTGACTGGACGTTCATTAATGCATCTTAACCTTTAAGACATTCAAGTTTAAGCGGCAGGGGTGTGTGGCGTGCGGAGCTTCATTGTAACGAGTGTAAAGTGACTAGGGGGTGTCGCAATGTAACAAATGGCATCAACACTTAACATGCCACTGGCCAAGAGTAACACAACATGATGAATGCTGAAGCTTCCAACGTAGCAGAACGAGAACTCTCTTTAAAAGTTCCATTTGTGTATTGACAAATGCAATGATCAACACCAAGAATACATATGCACGTAATTATCAACTCGTTCAACCAAAGCTCGCTCGTACATCCATGTATTGATATGTCCTCACGATAGGTCGCAGTCCGACCTTGAGATCCAGACGATTATCTTTGTCCTCGGACAAGTCCGAATTAAGCAATGAAAGTATACCGGCTTACTGCCGAGAATGTAATGTTCACCAGCTTCCTGCTGAGGTCTATCTTGGAATCCCGGGGTAAAACGTCCTCAAGGATCCAACTTCATATAACGTTTGCTTCCGTGGGATCCCGGGGTAAAGCGTCCTCAAGGATCCACACGTCCGTCTCCTTCGGACTATAAACATCAACTGCCTTTGACAACAATCCCTTCACAACGTTACGTATTGTTTTGACGTCTTATTTGCTCACTCCGTACTGGTGCGTTCTGGTGCACATTCGCACGCGACAGGGTGTCAGCTTGGTCTGACATTGTATTTTGTCGGCGGTCTTACCGGCGCCATGCGTGCTCTATATTACAGGATGTGAGAGCTTTAAACCACCAAAAAACATGTACTATTGGCACTAACCCCAACCCCCTTACTCCACACACTGAACCTAGGTCCCACGAGAGAGTGCATTATACGTCCCTTGGTTTCAGACTTTTCAACATTTTGTGGTGGCCAGCAAAACGCAGTGATGCTGCAGACATGCAACGCTACCCTCCTTGTCGCCGGCAAGCACTGACAGCTGGAATAAACTAATTTTCTACTGAAAATCCTAAACGGCTGTCATATACCCACCAACAAACACTAATTCTCCTTACAAGTGAACGCAATGTGGGTGGCCGTTGCTCACAGAAGAACGATAAACATGCAATGCAGAAAGCTTTGTGAATACAGCAGTAAAACTGGACACCCCTCTAACCTTGAGCAACATTGACCAGCCTGAGCAAGCATGAATGAAAGGTCAGCAGCTAGTGTGTGGATGGGTCCGAGTTCGTTACTAGTAATTATTCTTGTTTTCCTAACAATGGGATCCCAGAAGCGACATGGGGAGAATGTATGTATGTAAATGTGTGTGTGTGTGTGTGTGTGTGTGTGTATACATATATATGTAAAATAACATAAATAGACAGAAACACACACCCACCGATTGATCATATCTGATTGTTGTATGAAGGAATTTGTCAAAATGAAATTGTCTTGATCTCGTGTGACTTCATACTTGTGTAGCACACCAAGGCCATATGCTTGTTGTTTAGTGTTAGCATCAACCTGGCAACTCTGAAAACCAGTTAATAAAATATGTAAAAAGCAACTGTAAGATGCAAAGAAAGTTTTCTTTTTTTTTCCAAATCCATTTCAGGTAAGACTGTTTTTTTCAGTTTCTGGTTTTTTCCATCTTCTCCTCTTTGTCTCACTTGCTATGTATCATTCTAGTATGGGTCATGAAAAGGATGGTGTGCTTTTTACTGGTGCCTATAGTTTATCTTGCAGGGTAGCTGCTTTGGGTCAGAATTCTTCCATCTGGCTGGAGCAGCAAGTCCTGTAAGTCCTGCTTTCAGCATACGTTTGCTTCTTTGTTGCACCAGAACCTCATGTGGTAGAGTCCAGGAGACCCACAAAAGTGTGATCTGGGTTTGTGTGTCTCTTTCGGTATCTAAAAATCTGTATATGCGTATTTTATGCTGTCCTTTCCAACTACCATGCTGTTATACTGTCTGTAGTTTTTTTTACCGTTTCTCCAGGTCAACTTCAAAGACTGTCTTAAGAGTGTCTCTGGCACTTTAGATCTTTGAGATGAGTAGGGCTGCATATACAGCTTTCACAAGATGATCTGTTTTTTTTTTCTATATCCATTGATACTACTGGGTTGGTACCCACTTTAGGACTATTTATGTTCATGTGGACAGCATTCTTATTATCTTTTAAAAAATAATAACATTCACAGATGATACTGTCCAGTATGGGGCACAAGAAAGTTGTGAGTGCTAATGCTGAGTGTGAATGTAGCAGTGTTATTTTTCAGTCCTGCATATCCTCTGATGATGTTGTATGTGTCTTTGTGCTTCCATTACGATATGTAATAAAGATTCCATCACCTCTCCTTTTGTGACTTCTTTAGCAAAACTGTCTGTGAAAACAGATATATCTGGATATGAAAGTGATACTGATTATTCAGCATAAGAAGTGACAAGGTTTTTTGCTCTGGCTCAGTTTGTTCTTTTTTGAAGATTATTCCTGAGACTTCCAGAACTGTACTGGATAAGTTTGGACACCTCTATGGTACTGGTGTGAGTGAGAACTCAACAAATCATCATGCCAGTTTTTTTGCAGGCTGTCCATGGTTTGAACTTCACAAGTTCATTTTTGATGTTTTATCCCAGCAGCTTGAGACATATTCTACAAACCTAACTGCTCGAGTGTGTAGACTTATCTTAATGTTTTACTGGTTTACCATTATGTTCCATCTAGTTGTTTTTTTTTTCATTACAGCAAGTCTATCTATAACTTGGAACTTTTCTCCTTCATAATTTGCGTTGTTGTTGTTGCTGAGGATATCTCCAAGGAACATGGGTGTATCTGTCTGAAGTATTGGTTGATTTGATTACCATATGGATATTCTCTCTCTGTGCGGCGAGACAATAAACTATTGTCAAGTACTCTGAGAGAATTTTTTGCAAACAAACTAAAAAGTCAAGTCATTTACATGTAAAATGTTGCATATTTGTTGATGACAATATTTAGTACAAATGTCAGGAAAAGTATACACATAATGTCAATAAAAAAGTATAAATCAAGAAAAACTGACTGTTTATTTTAACTCTAGACATTAGTTGCTAAAGGAAGTCTCTTATCCAAGAATACATATTGTGAGTCATTCATGTTTGTAAAATTACTTGCTCAGGCCCTCTCTGCACACAGTGGAAAATACAGGAAAGGTAATATCAAAACAAAATCTCTTATCCAAGAATACATATTGTGAGTCATTCATGTTTGTAAAATTACCTGCTCATGCCCTTCTCTGCACACAGTGGAAAATATAGGAAAGGTAATATCAAAACAAAACTCAAGAGTAAAATTCAAAGTAATGTTAGTGAAAATGACTGACCTGACTGAGAATAACTTATAGCTTATTTGTTAATTTTATAAAATTAAGTAATCACTGTTAATTTTGTCTGTTACACAAGATTTAAACAGGAACTAACAGCTAATGAGAATGTTCTGCAAAAAATATCTCTGCATCTACAGTTACACATCAATTAACAGAACTACAGAAGGTATCTTGTTTAAACAACAATGAAACTTACAACTAGATCTGGATTAACAGTGATACAGCTCTGAAGCTGGGTGCTCAGTTTTCTGTTGCATGGCTGCACATAGTAAATATACTGATCATTTTCTCCAGTAGCCTGCAAATCCGCCCTAAAAAATTCAATCAGAAAAGCCAGTTAACTATATTTGTTGATGTTAAAAAACTGAGAAATTACAAAAAAGTATTGCAAATTGTTCTTGTTTTCATATATTCCTAAGCTAAGGAATATAAATGTATTCATGAGAGTCTTACACTTTACATCCCATCTGCTACATGATTAACTTCATCTTAATGTACATTAACTCATTAGGTACCAAGGAACATATCACACATTGATTTATAACTAATTTAAGTGTCCTCTAGTGTTGCAAAGATTTAATAACATTTTCTCTGGACCTATTGACATGTATAAGGTGGGTAGTCTGACAGACCTGCATATTCTGTTCTTCTTATCTCTCTCTATTTCATAAGGTTTCAAAGTAAAACCTATTTCTTGCAATGGTCATAGTGAAAAAGTCCTCAGTGTATGACTTTCAAAGATACAGAATATTCTGTGCTATATTTAAAACAGTTGGCCAGATTTCTTTTCCATACCCAGACCAAACATGAAACAAATCATAACACACCATGTGTTGCACTGACACACACTAACATAAGCGTAAACACACAAGGTGAGTTGCCTGGGATAGAAAGAGTTAAAGTTAATAATAGGAAATTATACATGTCCACCGTTTCTATCTCATGTATTGTCAATATTTTTTTATAAAGATACTTTTATTATCAAAATTTCTTGACTGTCTATGTCTAACTTCTCTAATCAGTTTAAGGTTGTCATGTTTCTTGAATGATTGCTTTATTTTTCTTTTTAGTCTGTGCATGGCATTCTTGGCACTTACATCAGAAACTCATTTCTGAAGTCATTAAATGTTTTTCACTTGCTTGCTTGCTGTCCATGTTTCATATGCAAGCTAAAGTACAGATTTTATATGGTACTTTATCTCTTCTGTTCTTACTGTAACTGGCAGCTTGTTTGTTTTCCTTTTTGCGAAAGGTAACAACTGCCATGGCAATTCTTGGTGTTATCTTTCTTTCTTTGAAAATTTTAAAGGAACTAGGAGATCCCACAAAAAGTGTTAATAAGTAATAAAAGCAACATTAAAAACATGAAATTCAGACCTATTCATGATGGAAAACTGACAGAAACATGTGTGAAATGCTCTGAAATATTATGATAGCTGACATTGATATGCACATATCAAAACCTGGCACTAAATGAAAAGGAGCTACCAAATGTATTATTTTCTTATAAGATTTAATTACAGACAATGAGCATAGGAGCCAGAGCCTGAACATACAGCAGTGTGTTACTGCACTGTGTTAATCAGTGCTTTTAAAGTTTATTTTTGTTGTTGTATTAGTTGCATGTCTTTTTCAGAATCTTGTAAACACAATTCCAGCACCTACTGGCTACTGTGTAGTTTTACAAGGCAATTTTAATTTCAGCAGTTTGCTATTGCCTCTAAACAGTAGGCTACTTGTACCATTGTTAAGAGAAATCACTACCTATTCACCTGCAGGTGAATTTTGAACTCCACTAAATGAAAAGAAGCTGCTAGCTGTAAATTTCATTTTTCTTATCAAGTACTGATTACGAGTATAGGAGTCCAGCCTACAGTAGTATAGCTACAGCACTGAATTCAGCAGGCTTTCAAAGTTTTATTTTTTTTTTTTACTTTGTATTGACATATATATATGACATCACCTCTATATTCACTGTCGGCTATCCTCCGAATAACGGTCCCAAATTATTGAGGCCAAAAATATACCTTGCAGGGCCTCAGTCACGTGTCACTCGCAGACTTCCGGGGACTATACCGCCACCGCTGAATTGCGAACTTCCGGGGACTATACCACCACCGCCGAGAGTATCCCCCATGCCGCTCATGCGGCATGGATTGGGGCTAAACTAGATGGCTGGGACTCACGAGCAAATAAAATGAAGGAAGCTGCAGGAGATGCGGTAGCTGCTGCTCGTGAGACTCAGCTATCTAGTTTAGCCCCTTCCACGCTGCGTGAGCGGCTTGGGGGTACTCTCGGCGGCGGTGGAAGTCGCTGGAAGTCTGCAATTGACACATGACTGAGGCCCTGTTAGGATATATTTTCGGCCTCAATAATTTGGGACCGTTATTCGGAGGATAGCCTCACTGTCTAAAACAGACACCCATAAATGAATAGATGACACTCTGCAATAAGCAAATGACAAGAACAGAACCTGTAAATCATCATGTGGCAGGTCCTTTGCAGAACGTTTCTGTCATCATGGTCGGCCTGAAAGAAACTTGGTCTCTCACCAGCTCTCCCGTCTTGTGGACTTTTATATCTAAGAAGCTACTTATATCCTGTGCCTATCCTCACTGTGGTCGGCCCATGCTGCTCCTTCTGCTATAATTTTTTTTTTTTAAATCCACTTTGGCACTTGATATGGCTAAAATATTTCACCTGCCATGACAGGATACTGTTTATTAGCCAATCTTCCTTGATGTTCAGATCATTTATGACGTCAATATTTCTTTTCTTCCTTGTCTATAGTATTTTGAGAATCAATCATTCTGTAGAATTTCAGCTCAAAAGCTCCTATTTTCTTCCTTTACTCTTTGAGTCCTAGGAAATGCATAACGCGCTAATTTGTTACAACCAGGTGGCCCAAATGGTGCGTGACAGGTGAAGGTTTTTAAACAACCACTGACCGGTAATAAAACGCAGACCACTCAATTTTAACTTCCTTTCGAGTTCTTTGTGTCTGATATCAGGCGTGCTCATTTAGAAATGTGGTTTGAAAACTGAAAATATAGTATATTTGCGAGGTTTGCCGAGTTACTAAGTGTTTGTTTGAAAAGAATATGGCCGCCAAGCAGTATTCTACATGCATGCCAACATGATTTATCCGAAGTTAGATAGATAACGTTGCGAATTAGACATGTTTCTTTCAAAACTAGAGTCGAATTTTGATGACGGATATGTCTAATGTGTACCTCACGAGAAGGGTTCAACAATAGCAAAGTCAGCTGGCACAAATAAAATAAACATTGTTAAAAGGACGATTTTCTTCAGTGTCAGTTAGTTCTAGTGCTATTCGCCTTATTATTTAGAAATATAGCTACAAAATTACAGGCAAATTAAGTGTTATATAAACTTTGTTTTGTGTGAAGATACTTTTTGTTTTGGGAGTCAGTTTTCTTTACCAAATAATGGTGCTCTGTTATGATGCTTCAAAAGATTCTCTGGAAGAAAATCTAATGTAATGATTGAGTTTACATTTAACTTATACATTACTAAGTGGTTCATATTCATTTGTGATTCCTTTTGGATATATTTTAACCTTAAGTGCCATGGTAGTGAATGGAATTATTTTAATTTAACTAATTTTTGGGCTATCTTCCGAATAACAGTCCTCAATTATCGAGGCCAAATATATACCCTAACAGGGCCTCAGTCACATGTTAATTGCGAACTTCCGGCGACTTGAATTGCGCACTTCTGGCAACTTCCGCCACCGCCGAGAGTATCTCCTACCCCACGCTTAGAGCGGCGTGGATTGGGGCTAAACTAGATGGCTGGGACTCATGAGCAGCAGCTACCGCATCTCCTGCAGCTTCCCTCATTTTATTTGCTCGTGAGTCCCAGCCATCTAGTTTAGCCCTTATCCACGCCATGCATAGCGGTGTGGGAGATACTCTCGGCGGTGGCGGTATAGTCCCCGGAAGTCTGCAATTTGGCGGTAGCGGTATAGTCCCCGGAAGTCCGCAAGTGACCTGTGACTGAGGCCTTGTTAGGGTATATTTCCGGCCTCGATAATTTGGGACATTGTTCAGAAGATAGCTAATTTTTTTAAACATACCGTCTGTTTATTTACTATGTTTATTTACTAATATTTAATTACTAACGCAATTATTTGTTGTAGCTGTATTCTTTAATTATTCCTCAACAATCCGTGGTCACTTTGATGTATTATATGTGTATGTTGCGCCGCAACTGAATTAGTATGGTCTGTTTTTGTGAAATTAAAAAATTGCATAACCACCCCTTGGGCCTCTGGTGCTAAACCCCCTGGACTCAAAGAGTTAACGACTGGGAGTTAGTCCATGACTCACAACTGTATTTTGTTACAGGAAAGATGCATGCTCTCAAAATTTTAACTTTGATTTCCTTGCTGGTGCTTAGTTTATAGATTTTTTATTCTGTTTAGTTTTTGTATATCTATGGCCATCCTCCTTTTTACTTCTGTTGAACAGCGTCTGTTGCTGTTTATTATTATAAACAAAAATAGATATATCAGCATGCATAAACCCACTGTGTAATAATTGGACACTTTAGCCAATCTTCTTGGTGGAGACATTACACATTATTTTTAAACCAGTGGCGTTTACAAGTCTATTAGTATTAATCGTAATCTGTAAGTAAAGAGGTCACGCCAACTCTATGACACCCAGTCACGAGACCAGCGTAAATTTAGAACTACGCTGAACATTGCCTTGGTTTGATATGATAAACAATTGAAATTGAACTATTATTATTGAATTGAAGCTTGACTTATTTCTGAACACGTCTTTTAATATAATTTTATTTATCAGTTATTTTTCTTGTCTAGTTAGTTTACACTTAGTTAAAGATTAAAATATAACTTACCCTCCTCTTGCTTTCATGAAAGATTCCAAATTAAGCTGAAAGTTCTGTGTTTTGCAGATACATGGGTGATCCAGGTCAAATTTGCAAGGCTCTCCCAAGCCCGAATGAAACGATAACAGTAACATAAAAGTAATAACAAGATAAAGTTTATCATCAACCCTTAGCAGACGTCTTAGATATTTCAGCTGGGGATATGCCATAATTTAAGGCTGATTCCTTACGAAGCCCGTTAACAGACTACCAAAACTCGTTTCTTCTTTCTGACTTCTCTGTGTGTGTTGTCAAGCAAACCGGTGTAAGGAACCGATGGGCAGACGTCAAATCCGGTGGTTTTTTTCCTTGTATTTGGGACATGGCTGGCATATTATCTTTGGTAAAATAAACAAAAGCTTTGAGACTGTGTGTGCCTTTACCAGGTCTTTTTTTTTTTAAATTGCTATACGGAACAGAATGCAGTACCGGTACCTTTATAGATGTCAGTTTATTCCTAGCGCTACCGTAATCAGGGCCGGATTAAATCCCGTTTATGTCCTAAGTCGACCCAGCCTTGAGTGGGTACCGGGAGCAGTCCCGGGAAGTAGAGGCGGCCACATCACCCATCTTGTGCCGATCGGTCTATAAAAATATAGGTCTAGCCCTATATGTCCTATACGCCTAAAGGCGTAGAAAAGGGTCCTTTACTTTTTTTAATGTCCTAAGCATTTTAACGATTATGGTGTGCCAACGCCAGCTGCTATCATCTATAATTAGTGCAGTCCAGTTGCGTTATCGTTCTAATGCGCTCTTCAATGACCAAGCTTAGTGTCTGGCCGGGCGTAAGTTTGCTCAAGAGGCGATTGGCCGATGCCTTCATCTTAGAGAAAGAATACATTTTCTGCTGGGTTCAGAGTGTAGCAATAAGTTGATAGGAACTTTAGACGATAAGTCGATCACAGGATTTTGGAATGTCCATTATCAGCCTTGCACCGTTCAGCTCCTCCTTGCTACTTATATATACCACACGTTTCTCGACGTATGTGCAGAACTTTTCGCTATTGCCATCACTGATGATCTTTGAGTGAACTATTCTTTGGTTATTCATTGCCACAATAGCTGTAACCATGCGGTTTCTCACAGTAAACAGACTTAGATTTGGGTGTGCTTTCTTCTTGAGCGAGCCTGTGTCAGTCGTAGATGGAGATTGAATCCACTTTCACCGTTGAAGATGTACTGCTCTGTGTATCGCGAAACGTGTGCTCAGAAGTCGAGAGCATAAGTTTAAAGGCTTACAGTCGTTATGGTGCTGTTGACGCCATCAAGTTCGTAGTGATACTTCTTTAGGGTGATCTATAGCTTTCTGAGGGTTTTGAAAACCGTAGAAACAGCCAGGCGGTTTGTGCTGATTAAAGTGTACCCGAGGTTGCAGACATAACCGCCTACGCCAGTCGTCAAGACGCTAAATGATGGTGACGACAAAGGCGAGTGCAAAAGGTCCAGGCTAAGTGAAGATGTGAGACATGCGTTTCTAGAGATGAACGGATAACAGCGTCCTCCACGGGGATTGGGAGACCCCCATGTAACCACTGAACTGGTCGCTGGAGGTGAACCCGTGTCAGAGTCACCTAGGATGACCCAGAAGATGTATAGATAGGCGTTGACCAGAATAACGCTAGATCCTGGTTCACCAATAATCACGTGAGGTTCAGCACCCCTGCACCCCGCGTGGTAAATGACATCCCTGAAAGTTTATAGCTTGATCATCGTTAAACACCGTCTATTATTAATTTAAAATGCGCTGTTTATGAAACAAAAATGAACAAGAACTAATGATGTTCGCATACAATCGTTGCCCGAGTTACAGTGAACTAGCCACCCAACCTTATAGGTAGTAGCCTAGTACATGTGAAGACCTGTCATTCCACATAACAAAAGCAGGATTTGCCTTCACCTCTATGTGTTTCACATGATGTACAACAAAAACACAAAAGCAGCCAATATTTAATTAAGAAGTTAAGCAATAGTGAAATTACTTTCACAAGTTTTATTTTTGACTTTCTTTTAAATAGATAGAAATTACTCATACATTCCTTTATACAAAAGTACCATGCATATCATGTTTAATACTTCAGTATCCACATTCTTCACCACAATATTTTAAAAGTAAATGACTTTTCTATACCTCCAAGTCGTGACGTAAAGGGAACATCGTCTGCATGAGGCCTTAGTGGATAGTAAGGCATAGGTGCTGAAAAGAGGTGGTTCTTGGATGGCACAGGCAGAAGTCATGATCATAAATGCATAACTGTTTGTGCTACTGACGAGATAGCGCACTGTGAAGAATTGGTTACAGTGCCGCCCAGCAAAACAGACTTAGGCCTACACATAGTGATAGTTACCTTGGACCAAGGGTGCCGGGAATGGATAGTTATTGAAACAATCAGCGGGGCTAGAATTGGTAAATGAGAATACACGCACAGATGACATCATAATATATATAGATGGGTCTGTAGTAAAGGATAACACGAATGGTGGGGTTTTATTTCAAAGGTGAATGGACATTGCATAAAACACGGATATCTTGCGTATAGTCACTGCATCCAGAATGAGAACGGAGGTGGATGCAGTAACGGCGCTTTCTGGTGGCTTGAGAGCAGCACAGTCTGACATGTTGTAATTGTAACAGAATCAGAGCTGCTTCGGAAAATGTGAACTGGTGTCAGGCGCGCAAAGTGTCTTGCATCACTTGATAAGGCTCAGATCAAGAGCATTTTATGGATTTTCTGTCCAGGTCATTCAGGCGTACGAGGTAACGAGCAGGCTGATATAATGCTGTCGCTTCTATGGGTGGTGAGCTACTACATGATAAAGCGGATGTGGTGAAGGCTCCGAGTACAGTGCAAAAGAACAGACTGGGAATCCATTACTGAAAGACTAGTTCAACGAGGAAACGGGTGTAGGGGTTCTGGAGGATATTCAACATTGAAGGGGAAATAGAGGCGGACTTTGAATCAGATTGCATCTGTATTATTAGCATGTCAGCTCTTCGTTGGTTACCGAAGAAGGAGATGGAGTACGTGTGGGAGTGTCCCGAGTGCAGTAATGTCAATTCTTATGTGATTGATTAATTTATTTATTCAAGACTTTGTGTTTGCCCACCCTGCTCTGTTTTTTTTTTTTTTTTTTTTTTTTTTTTTTTGGGGGGGGGGGGGGGGGGGTCTTTCTTTGTTTCTATCCCCCTGTGGGTTCCAGTGCTATGACATTCTAGTCACATTGTTGTCATGTTTTCTCAACGTGTGTCCTGTCCATTGCCAGCGTCTTTTTTTCACCACTTAGTCCATGGGAACTTGTTAAGTTCTCTCCCAAAGCTATATATTAGTGATTCTGTCATACCATTTAATTCCATTTATTCTACACAGGCACCAGTTAATGAATGTTTGTAGTTTTTTAGAAGTTGCCTTAGTTGTTCTTAATGTTTTGCTCAACACAACAGTACTGATTTGGCATTAGAATTACAAATTGAAAGTTTTAGTTGTAATTTCTTTATATTGACCTACACACATTTTCTAGTGTTATGAAAGCTCCTCTTGCCTGTTGTATTCGTATTTAAACATCTATATCATTTCCACCATCTTTAACTACATTACTGCCCAGATAGGTGCGCGGCTAAATGTCTCCTAGTGGGATACAATTAACAGGAACCACATTACTATTTGTTTGATTTATTCTCATTTATCTTTGTCTTTCCCATGTAGATTTTCAGACCTATCTGTTGTGATCTTGCATCGAGTATATTAATAACAAATTTAACTCTAAAAAACTTAACAACTTATTCTAAAAGGCATACATGAATTCTGTTTCTAACCTCAACTGACAAGGATTTATTGCACACAGCAGTGTTTCCCAAACTTTTCTTAGTCGCGGCGCCTTTTTTAATTAAAAAGTTTTCACGTCGCCCTAACCTAAGTGGAAGTATGACTATTCGTATGTAAGAGTTAAAAAAAAAATATAAAAACTCGTGTATCTTCGAATATTTCGAGACGCTCTTGTGAAGAGGTCGCAGCTCCCCGGGGCGCCGCTGCGCACAGTTCGGGAATCACTGGCATACAGTAATAAATTAAAATGTAATACCGAAAGAGATGATCTTTTCATGTGAAGTTATCGATAACTTGCAACATACAATAGTATGCTTAACATAATATGATTTGTCCACTAAATGACGGCTAACCAAATAAAAAGAGACAAGGCTTATGTATATTAATGATACAAACATAAATTACCAAGTTTATCTTCAAATGTGTTTTTCTCGGATTGTATTCGGCTGGAACTCATTATCTCAGTGTAGAGAAAATTATTATCGTTACCATCTTTTTATCCTGAGAAAGCTGTGTGGATTGGTAGTGCATTGTAATGATTTTATTCACATTCTTCAAAATTGTTTAGATTCGAGTTTTTCAGTGCCAAGTAACTAAAAATATGTTTAGTGGTTTTAACTGACGTGATTCATTCTTCTGTTTTCCTTCTGACGCGTGCAGTTGTATTACAACACATTGTCCCAGCTGTTACATTTAACCCTTTCAATCTGATGGTACTTTTGTTTTAACTCACGAGGCTGAAACTTTGCCTACATAAAGTGATAACTTTTTTTTAGAATAAAAGATAAAAGTAACATTTGCTCGGTATTTAAGGAATTAAATTTGCAGCACTTTTTTTTTCTTCAGCATAACAAAACAATCCATTTTATGTGCTTGTATAAGAAGCTCCTCCCTTGCAACCGCGGACTAGAAACAAAACACCATCCTGTGGAAAAGAAAAAAAAATACTTTCTGATATTTATATTCCAGCTGTAACAGCCTATCAAGGTAATGCTTGTCAAGGTAGTGCTCGGTAATTATGTCGTTGTCTGTGACGCTAGATTTCAGTGACAGTGCGAGCAAAGTTAAGACCGTTCTGATGTGTGTAGGTGTACGTGCGTGCGAGTGCGCGCGCGCACGTGTGTGTGTGTGTGTGTGTGTGTATTAATTAGCAGATTTAAAAAATCTTGAATTAACAATTCTTGACACCCTATTGGCACAAGATTAAAACTACAAATAAACTGTTCATGCTTTTACTGAAGCTCGAAGTCAGTTTTCTGTTTCTTCTCTTTCTATCATCATCATCATCATCATCATCATCATGTAGCAGGTCCTTTGCAAAACGTCGCTGTCATTACGGTCTGCCTAAAAGAAACTAGGTCTCTCGCCAGCTTTCCTAGCTCATGTACTTTCATACTCAAGGAGTCACTTATATCCTGGGCCCATCTTCGTGTTGGTCGGCCCCTGCCCCTCCTTTCCTGGTACCATGCCTTCTGCTATAATTTTTTTTTCCAGTCCGTCGTGGCGCTTGATGTGGCCAAAATATTTCAGCTTCCGAGACAGGATGCTGTTTATTAGCCAATCTTCCTTGATATTTAGATCTTTCAAGATGTCAGTATTTCTCCTTTTCTTTGTCCAAGCTATTCTGAGAATCTTTCTATAGAATTTCAGCTCAAAAACCGCTATTCTCTTTCTTGAGGACTGGGAGATGGTCCACGACTCACATCCGTACACTGAGTAGAATAATATCACCGTGGCTGTCTTGTTCTACTAGTGTCCTTAAATAATCAAGAATTAGTTTAATTTGACTGAAATAACTTTCGCAGCTGGAAACTGCAGTGGTTACCATTATCTGAACAGATAATGTTTTCCGCTACAGAAAGTATAGCTTTGCCTGGCCAGACTGCGAAACGCTACTTTTTTAAAAAAATAACTTAAAAAAAAAAATTATTGTAAGCAGTGCTGATCAGGGGTAAGTGTTTAAATGTGTGTAGGGTGACGCTTTTCTAACTTTCATTAGACAGGTTCCTTTAGAGAGGCGTTGCCACTTGAGAAAACATCGAGGTTTTTTTTACCCCCCCCCCTCCCTCTTTTTTTTCCACCCTTTTTTTGCAAGTGAGCGCCCAGGGCGTCTGCCCTGCCTGCCACTCCCTAACTATACAGCTGGAGACAATCGATATATGGATATTTGCTGAGTGCAGTACGGTCTGCCTGCTGCCAGGGTTTGTAAATTTTAGCTGTACATTCGACCAATCATGAACCATACATAGGGCCTTGCATAAGTTTGTTAGGGGTTGGTGCTCCTTTAGATTAATAATAGTGGAGAAAAAAGATGAGAAAGATAAATAGAAGAAAGATTAGGAGAAGGAGGAGATGAGGAGGAGGAGGAAGAAGAGGAGGAAAAGAAGAAGAAGAAGAAGAAGAAGAAGAAGAAGAAGAAGAAGAAGAAGAAGAAGAAGAAGAAGAAGAAGAAGAAGAAGAAGAAGAAGAAGAAGAAGAAGAAGAGAGAAAGAAAGAAGAAGAAGAAGAAGAAGAAGAAGAAGAAGAAGAAGAAGAAGAAGAAGAAGAAGAAGAAGAAGAAGAAGAAGAAGAAGAAGAAGAAGAAGAAGAAGAAGAAGAAGAAGAAGAAGAAGAAGAAGAAGAAGAAGAAGAAGAAGAAGAAAGAAGAAGAAGAAGAAGAAGAAAGAAAGAAAGAAAGAAAGAAAGAAAGAAAGAAAGAAAGAAAGAAAGAAGAAAGAAAGAAAGAAAGAAAGAAGAAAAGAAAGAAAGAAAGAAGAAAGAAAGAAAGAAAGAAAGAAAGAAAGAAAGAAAGAAAGAAAGAAAGAAAGAAAGAAAAGAAAGAAAGAAAGAAAGAAAGAAAGAAGAAAGAAAGAAAGAAAGAAAGAAAGAAAGAAAGAAAGAAAGAAAGAAAGAAAGAAAGAAAGAAAGAAAGAAAGAAAGAAAGAAAGAAAGAAAGAAAGAAAGAAAGAAAGAAAGAAAGAAAGAAAGAAAGAAAGAAAGTAAGAAAGAAAGAAAGAAAGAAAGAAAGAAAGAAAGAAAGAAAGAAAGAAAGAAAGAAAGAAAGAAAGAAAGAAAGAAAGAAAGAAAGAAAGAAAGAAAGAAAGAAAGAAAGAAAGAGGAAGAAGAAGAAGAAGGGTTGGGAAGAGGATTGTAAGAAGCAGGAAGGAGAAGCAGAACAACAACAACAAAGAAGAAGAGATTACTGGTGTCTTTGCAATACCTTAGCAAGTGACGGAATAGCTGCCCAAAATGAAACGTTGGGAATAATGTCTGTTCCCTGGGCATTTCTCACAAACTTTTGGAAAAGTAGACCTCCAACAAAATACACAGCAATCACAACAAAGAATCTGAAACAGAATAATTATAGGTGATGCGCATTAAACTTCTGAATTAAATTTCCAGTGCTATTTTGTGTTTGTCCATTGTGGATTAGTCCATTTTGAAAAACGCATTGCTTTGATCAACAGTACTTCCTGTTTAAGAAAAATATTATTTGTCCTGTAGATAATCAGAAAAGTGCCAATTTTTCTTACTACTAAGAAACTGCCCTTCTTTCTGTTATTCCCAAAAAAGAGCATAAGTCCTGAAATAGCTCACGGAATGGTGCACCGATTTAACCTTCGGGTGATCCACATCCGCATTGTGGCACTTTGTGTCACCAGGTGTTTATCGCTTGTGTGATGTCCTGGTGGATTATAACAAGAGAGTAAGAGAGAGAGAGAGAGATAGATAGATAGATAGATAGAGAGAGAGAGAGAGAGAGAGAGAGAGAGAGAGAGAGAGAGAGAGTAAAACGTGAATGGTTACTCGGTTCACCATCACACTGCCTTTTCTGCTGCTTGGTATGTGGCTCATTGTCCGAGAAAGAATCTTCGTTTGCTGCATCGGAGTTTGATGACTGGAGGCACAGCAATGTTATTGTTGAACATGAACACGGAGAAGAACATCGAAAGTGCATGACAGTATATTTAATAAGGCACAAACAAGCTGGACGTATGGATTCTTTGTTAGTTAGTTAGTTAGTTAGTTAGTTAGTTAGTTAGTTAGTTAGTTAGTTAGTTAGTTAGTTAGTTAGTTAGTTAGTTAGTTAGTTAGTTAGTTAGTTAGTTAGTTAGTTAGTTAGTTAGTTAGTTAGTTAGTTAGTTGGGATATGATTATTGCACTTCAGACATGTCCATAGGTGCTCAGATCCTTTCCTCAATATCAACCCCAGTGTTCGGTGACTAATAGTGCCAGTTCTTTGTTGACTGATTAGTCTTTTTGTATGCCCGGTGTATTTCTCGCTGTTAGCTATACCGAGTCTTTCATTCTTGTGAGCAATGTGGAATTGCTGTCTCGAAAGTCCTCCACCCTTCCCACTTCTCTGAGGGTAATATCAACATGATCAATGGGTTTACATTCAGCAGTGACATCGGATCCAGCCAACTTATCAGCCCTTTCGTTTCTATCGACACCCGCTACCCGGAACGAAGATAAAGGCACGTTACGCACAGTGGACTTCTGTAAAATCTCAATCCACTACCTTCGCACAGAACCTGCTTGGATCTTTCGGATCATGCTCATGGAATCGCTAAGTACACATGCACAGGTTTAGTTTTGTGTTCTTAGCCATAGGAATGCTTGCGTTACCGTCATCACCTCTATCGTCATGCTGCTTATTGTATTGGAGAAGGCACCGCTGGCTTCTTTGATTGTTTTCCCGGCTGAGCGTGCTGTGAACGCCCATGCACTTCTTTGTTGTCGTAAAACAGATCCGTCTGTGTAGATCAGTACATCCATTTCGTCGCAATTATGGCTGTTGAGAGCGTTGACCTCTGCATTGACCACAACAACATTCTGCTCCCTGCATCTTCTGCCGAGCGAGATTCTTTGTTACTTATTTGCGATGTCGCTCAAGGCATGAATATTGACATAAAGTGTCGACAAGTCCATCCAGATGTCTCTACCATTTTGTGAGGTAAATCAGATTAACGAGTCAGCATAAGCTGGCAACTATGTAGGTATACTAGAGCTGCTGAGCGAATATGACTACTTCTTGGAAGAACATCTCGGGGGCCACGTTAGCGCAGTCGATAGGAGACTCGCTTTCAAATCAGCTGCGACTCGCTGCAGCCCACAGACGGTGTTCGAAACTGGGCGGTTCCCGGGGCTCACCCAGCCTCTTAGGAAATGGGTACCAGAGTTGACACTCTGGGGTAAATGGAGAAACGTCGCTGTAGCTACGGAGTTACGCGCGGATGGCGACACAGGCGGAGAGTTTCTTATCAGCTATCCGTACTGGTGGCAGAGCACTTATGGTTTATAATCGTGTTCAATGACGCTGATTCATATCTCCCGACTTACGTACATCTCAAAATGTTTAGAAGTTCTAGAAAAAAAGGGAATTCGTCACACATATCCGTCATTTATTTTAGGATTTTGTGTGTGTGAGTATATATAATTATATGCCTAGATACATAGATATTACCTAACATTATGCATAACCGATATTCTAAGAGTACACACAACCACATGCATTGGAAAACACTATACAATTAACGTGTCTATGCCTACATACAGCTACATTATGTAACAGTGAAGTTTACTTACATTATAACCATAATTGATCCAGCGCTGATGCCAACTTCGACGCTTATATTGATATCACCACCGCCGCCTCCGCTGCATATGTATTTTGTTAGCAATGCGAACCGCTAAATAAAAGAAGATGGCATATTTATAGTAAAGGACCAATATCCCCGCCTTCAGGCGTATTGGGCACATAGGGCTAACCTACATTTTATAGTCCACCTCGGTTGGTGATGTGGCAACATCACACCGGCCGCATTTACTTTTAGTGACTTTACCTGGTATCCGTTTAAGATTGGGTCGACCTGGTGGCCAGGATAATTTCTGAAAACAAAGGCTGGCTCCGTCTTGACCTGAACCCGCGACCTTCGGATCTGCAGGGGAGCATCTAGCCGCTACACCACGGCAGATCCCATGTATGTGTATATATATGTTCATTCCCTGTCCTCACTGTCCAAGAACTTGTCGGCCTCATCAGTCATCTTCATACTCATACTTGATGAAAAAGAGTGGTCATCATCATCTTGATGGACAACAACAGAAGTATATATATATGTATATAAATGCGTGTGTGTGTATATGTGTGTATGCGTGCGCGCGCGTGGTTTCAATATAAAACTTTCGTTTGCACTTCTATATTTGTCCAGACCAAAGTGTTATACCGTAGTTGGTAGGCGCTTTCCTCAACAACAACAAAGCGTTAACGTTCAACCAGCATCCCCGAAGTGGGAACTTTAGGTTATAATTGTGAAGAAGAAGAAGAAGATGAAGAAGATGAAGAAGAAGAAGAAGAAGAAGAAGAAGAAGAAGAAGAAGAAGAAGAAGAAGAAGAAGAAGAAGAAGAAGAAGAAGAAGAAGAAGAAGAAGAAGAAGAAGAAGAAGAAGAAGAAGAAGAAGAAGAAGAAGAAGAAGAAGAAGAAGAAGAAGAAAAAGAAGAAGAAGAAGAAAGAGAAGAAAAGATGACTGTTGAATCGTACATATAAATGTTATAAAACTCGAAAGATAAAGTGAAGTTAGTCAAAATCTAGGTGATCAATTTGATTAGTTGTCTTATGGTGTGGTGATTCCCATATTGCCTTGTGTATTCTTTTATGGGGAAAAATACTTCTACCAATAACATACTGGTTTCCAGCACAAACATTTGTGAACAATTCTCCATTTTCATTCATTACTCCTAGACCATGTCTTCCCATAATTTCTTCATAACCTGTGTTGTCTGATCCTATCTCAACATTCAGGTCACCCATTAAATATTTTTAATTGCCCTTTCTTTCATTATTTATAATATTTTGAAGCTGCATGTAAAATCGTTATCTTTCGTTGGTGAATAACACTGTATTACCGACTTTCTTTTTCACTGTATTAACAAAAAGTTTAGATCATCCCTTTACGATGTTAGGGCTTTCAGAGGTGCCGATGTATTTACTGACCATTTCCTGGTGGTAAGTAAAATCAAGATTAAACTCAAAAGATATATAACATCTTATAATCATAGAAACCAATATAATGTAGGTTATCTCAGGGATAAAGAAGTTAAAGAACAGTTTTCAGTTACAGTCTCTAATAAGTACCAGATGTTGCAGCAGTTAGCTGAAGATGTCAGCATAGAAGTCTGCTGGGATCAGATCAAAGGAATCTGGAATGAATCTTGTGTAGAAGTTCTTGGCAAGAAAGTAAGGAAACATAAAGCATGGAAAACACCAGAAACCATTAAATTGATTGAAGAAAGGAAAAGTAAAAAGGCAGACTTAAACAATAGCAAAACTAGAGCTGCTAAAGCAAGAGCTCAGGATAAATACACAGAAGCCAGTAAGGAAGTTAGGAGGCGTATAAGGGCAGATAAAGTGACATATCTAAATGATCTAGCACAAGAAGCTGAGACAGCAGCAGCAAAAGGAAACTTCAGGAAACGTTACAGTAACACAAGGAAATTAGTAGGTAAATACAGTCAGGCAACTGGATCAATCAAAAATGTACTAACACTAAAGATCAAATGGACAGATGGGTTGAATATTTTGAAATGCTTCCAAATAGACCAGGTCCAGAGGTTCCCCTAGATATCCAGCCTTTAGAACTGGAACTGGATATCAAGTGTGTAATACCATCTAAGGAGGAAATTAGGAAAGCTATCAATCTTCTCAAGGAAGGAAAGGCGACAGGCCCAGATGATATCCCAGCTGAAGCCATAAGGTCCAACATAAACACGTCAACAGAATTGCTACATAGATTATTCAGTAAAGTCTGGGAGACCGAAGAAATACCAGCAGACTGGAGAGAAGGATATCTTGTGAAACTGCCCAAAAAAGGTAATCTACAGGAGTGTGAAAACTATAGAGGAATTATGTTGCTGTCAGTTCCTGGAAAAATATCAAGTAGAATTATTTTGGAAAGATTAAAAGATGCTATTGATAAAAATCTAAGAGATGAACAGGCAGGTTTTCCGTCAAACAGATCCTGTACTGACCAGATAGCCACATTACGTATTATAATAGAGCAAAGCATTGAATTGAACTCACCACTTTACATTGGATTTATAGACTGAAAAAGCACTTGACAGCATTGATAGGGAAGCTCTCTGGAAATTGATGGGACACTATGGAATCCCACAGAAAATTATTAACTTAGTAAAAGCAACATATAAAGACATGAAATGTCGAGTTCTTCATGAGGGAAAGCTAACAGATACATTCGAAATAAAAACAGGTGTGCGACAGGGATGTCTTTTGTCGTCTATCTTATTTTTACAGGCTATAGACTGGATTATGAAAAAACAGTAACCACTGACACCAAGAATGGAATTCAGTGGACCCCTACAAAACAGCTTGAGGATCTGGACTTCGCTGATGATATTTCTCTTAAATTAAATATACTTGATGCGAGATCACAGCAGCTTGGTCTGAAAATCCATAAAGGAAAGACAAAGAAAATGAGAATAAATCAGGCGAATAGTAATGTGGTTTCTCTTAATGGCTCCCCACTCCAAGACGTGGAGTCCTACACCTACTTAGGCAGTAATATAGATAAAGATGGAGGAACTGATGAAGATATTAAAATAAGAATACAAAAGGCAAGAGGAGCTTTCATAGCATTAAGGGATTTGTGAAGGTTAAAAGAAATTAAAAGAAATACTAAACTAAAAATTTTTAATGTCAAATCAGTACTTTTATATGGGGCGGAAACATGGAGAACAACGAAGGCAATTACTTATAAATTACAGACATTCATTAACTGGTGCCTGCGCAGAATAGAAGGAATTAAATGGTATGATAGAATCACTAATGTAGAACTTTGGGAGAGAACTAAACAGGCTCCAGTGGACCAGGAGGTGAGGAAAAGACCCTGGCGTTGGATAGGACACACGCTGAGAAAACAGGAAAACAACATAACTAGAATGTCTTTGCATTGAAACCCACAGGGGCATAGGAATAAAGGAAGGCCAAAAAACACTTGGAGAAGAGAGCTGGAGAATGAAGTTAAAAAGATGGGGAGGACATGGGGAGAGCTCCATGTAATGGTGAAGGATAGAACGACTTGGCGTGGGTTGAGGGCCTATGCTTCATTGGGAGATAGAAAGGCAGAAGAAAAAAAAAGTCAAAATCTGAAACAGGTTATTTTAGTAAAATACTGACATATACAATCGGTGAAAATATCGGCCCCGAATTTCCTTGATATGAAAAGGCGGCCTCCTGGTCCGAACATTTGATTGTCAACTGTAATTGTCTGAGGAACAAAATAAAAATAGCACCCAGATTCATAATTTACACTGAAGTTGTTTTCAGAATTAAAATGGTCAATGTAAGGACGTGTTGGGTTAACTGACCATACATAACTAGATTTTCAAACACAGTAGCAAATCAATACTGAAACCAAATATAAAAACTTATGAATTTAAGTTTAACGAAGATAAAGTACAAAAATGCAACCAAAAGTGCCCACTAAGTTCTTTTTAGGCGAACCAACCGTAAGCTTGTCACTCTGTTCGTGAAGGTAGACGGCTAATTTGCTACCGCAGCGACAATATAACACCAAATCTCATAATACCTGTTGCAGTCCCCATATCGTCTTGTCCCTGTCCGAGAGTCCGATAAAGTGCAGTAGGGGAAGATCGTGGCCTGGATTCATGAACCAGGTCGGCCCAGCTTCCGAGATTGTCTAGGAAGTGATGGGCCGAAACAATAGTCGACTATGGATCTTTCTACTGATGATCAGTGAATCCCAGCTGTGCAGGCTTCCCTGTGGAGTTCTTCTTACTTATAGACTAGAACAGCGGGCGCAAAATGGCTAGCGTAAACCATAAAAGCAGGAATTACAGGCCACTAGGCATAAATCATGGGCAGGGGTAGCGGATGTAACGTATTACTGGCTTAGGCCAATTGAGCAATATGTCATGGCACGATGTAGGAAGACCGTCCCCTCCCCCTCCCCCACCCCCAATCAACCACTACAGCTACATAAACAAAAATCCAGTCAAGGACAGGAGGAAAGGTAGTAATTATGGTAAAATTGGCAGAACTTGTCATAAAGGGTTAATGATCAAATATAAGCAAAAAAATGTTTAATTTTTTCATGTGCACAATTTTTCAAAATTGATTTTTTTTTTTTTTTTTTGTCCATTGGAAATCAAAAATATTTCTGCTATTTCTGTCACAGGTGGATGCTACTTTCATTCGTTTTATCATTTCAAAAGACAATATTCATATAACTATTATATGTTTTGTGTGAAGTAGTTACAATTATAACATAATGAGACAGAAGGATTTAAAGAAACACATGAGCTATACTGGGTTAATGAAACAGTTAGATGGAAGGCACGGGTTCAAAATAATATATGATAAAATAATGGCCCAAGAGAAGCGTGATGAGTTGCTTTGTAGTTATTCTACTAAAACAAAGACAGGAATATATATGAATTTACCTCGTCACCGTGTCGTCATATCTTCTGAATGAGTTTGTCAATACATAATCGTCTTGTACTTTCGTGGCTTCAAAGGACCCGACCACACCAAGACCAAAGGCCATAGTCGATGACTGCAACTGTTGACAGCTCTAGAGAATATCGTATAAACGTGCATATATCAACATCGAAATGTCGGTGTTAAATTACATTGTTTAAGCATGCATTTATATATGAACAGCGAAAGATCAGCGTCACTGTATTAGCATTTACTCATCAACATCAAACCATCAATGTCATTATGTAAGCATGTACTCATCAATGGCAAAAGATCAATGTAATTATGTAAGCGAGTACTCATCCACAGCAAAAGGTCAACGTCCCTGTGTAAGCATGTACTCATCAATAGGGAAATATCAACGTCTTTGTGTAAGCATGTATTCATCAACAGCGAGAGATCAGCTGCATTGGGTAAACATGCATATATATCAATGGCGAATGACAAACGCCATTGAACACTGTAATTTCATAGCACGTTGCAATTAATTCTTGTAAATAGCTGAAAACCACCAAAAGTAGACTATATAGAAGACTGCTAAAACAATTCCAGCCATACTCTCAATACAGTTTTTAAAAAACGAGGCGGTCATCCTCGAGACAGTTGAAAACCGTAAACTGACAGAAAAATTATACGTGAACAGTTGCTGTTCAAATGCTGTCACCTACCAGTTAGCACCATTGCTTCGACGCCCAAATGTCTATCTTCCAGCAAAACAGCAAATGATTAATAGCATCTCTATCATTACTTTATGTTATCAGTGCAACAAATGGACAATGAGTAGGGCAATAGAACAGAAAATAACTACATGTGAATGCGCTAGTTTTTTTTTTTTTTTTTTTTTTGTTAAAAGGAATGGGTCGAAAACTTGAAGATGGGCTGAGGTGGGATATGGGCACGAATGGCAAGATTGCTGGTAAAGAGCAAGGGGAAGTAGAATGGTGCCTATTTAAATGGCATGTTTTTCTTCATGGGTGCCATTTTTGTCTTGGTCAAAATTTTATTAGTCTCATTATTTAATGGCCAGACTGTACTAAAGACTCTCTTTCACACGCTACGACCCCCGTTGGCCAAATTGTACTAAAGACGCTCTCTTACACGCTACGACTCCCGTTGGTCAAATTGTACTAAAAACGCTCTCTTACTCTATACGACTCCCGTTGGCCAGATTGTACTAAAGACTGTCTCTTACTCGATACGACTCCTGTTGGCAAAACTGTACTAAAGACTCTCTTTTACTCTATACGACTCCCGTTGGCCAGACTGTACTAAAGACTGTCTCTTACTTGCTACGACTCCCGTTGGCCAGATTGTACTAAAGTCTCTCTCTTACTCGCTACGACTCCCGCTGGCCAGACTGTACTAAAGACTCTCTTACTCGATACAACCCCCAGACTGTACTAAAGACTCTCTTAACGCTACCACTTCCGTAAGATTTAAATAAATCGTCAGCTATAGAAATCGTACTCCGAGGACTGACTGACTTTCTACCCCACCAGGACATCAAACTGAGCGATAAACACCCCGTGACACAAAGTGCCACCATATGGATGAGGATCACTCGTGGAAAGGTCCAAGAAACCCTTTTCAACTTTTAGGTTATTTTAGGGCTGCAGACAACAGCCTGGACAATAGAACGGGAAATGAAGGAATGTAAACTGACATGGGATACCACGTGCAGAAAAGCAGCAGACCGGCAGCAATAGAGATCATTTGTGAATGCCTTATATGTCATCAGCGACATGAAGATGAAATAGAATAGACAACAGCCAGGGTAGAGCTTCAGAATAGTGAAAAATACGTCCCACATGGGACGTGGAATTTTACACACTGAGGAGTCAAATTGTGAAAGGCATGTGTTAATATCCAAGCCCACTGACGTGTCCGTCACTTTTAAATATGGCTCTACGGTGATACAGGAAGTCTTTGATCCACTTGTTTATACCCTATACAACTCCAGCCTGTAGCCGTTTTAATTGTAGGTCTTCTTTCCAAACTATCTAAAACAAGAGAGAGAGATCGAAGAAAACAGCGAGAATTTTCTTCTTTTCCTAAAAGCAAAGGATCACTTTTTCCCTCCTTCAGGTGTTTGGGGCAAATGTAATTTATACCACCCCCCCCCCCCCCCCCGCCAGGACCTACAAGAAAAGATAGTTAGATGGCCAAATAATTTAATCTGTTCTTTTAAGAAAAATATTTTTTCAAACTGTCTTTATTGTCTGTATTTATTACTTTCGATGACGATAAAGGGGTGATGAATCTTGAGCCCAAGGAACTGGGGCAGAAAAGACAATAAATTAAGCAGGTTATAATTGCAAATGAGTTACTATGAGTCCGGGAAGAAAGAAAAACAATGTCTTATATTTACTATAACATTAACCAGTTGTTCAGAATATCAAGCACAAGAGGTCGTTATCTACATTATCCATTAATGGAACTTACTACCAAATCTGAATCCACGTTAGTGCATGGAGCAATCTGGGAGCTGAGTCTTCTGTTGCAAGGCTGAACGTAATAGATATATGTCAAAAAATCTTCTTCTACTGTTGCAACGAAATCGGCCCTGAAATTGTAGGATAAAGGAATGTCTGTAAAATTTTTTAAATTGATATAAAGAAGACAGTTTCCTACTAGCCATGTTTCACATTTAAAGTAATTTTTTCGAATATAATTATATTATATAACGCTAGCCTAGTTGCCAGTTGAGGAGTTGGAATAAAACAAATACATGGATACATGATGTAGGCTTAAGGCGAACACACATACACGCGCGAGCGCGACACGCACGCACATCTTCTCCAGTAAATATTAGGATTAGAGACGCAGACATCAAGTAAACATTAAGGCAGATTGGGAAGGGGTGAGGGAATACGCTCCCAGTCAAACAGTCTAGTGTTGGGGGGGGGGGGGGAGGAGGGGCAGACTGACTGACTTTCTACCCCACCAGGACATCACACAAGCGATAAACACCCGATGACACAATTTGCCACTATGTGGATGAGGGTGGATCACCGTGGAGAGGTCCCAGAAGCCGCGTTCAGCCATATTTATGACCGGGCTATATTGCGGCCTCTGGAATGAGCCAGAGTAGGGCTTCAAATAACGACGGGAAGAATAAAATGGGGGGGGGGGGGGGGGGAATACAGCCGACTGACTGACTTTCTACTCCACCAGGACATCACACAAGCGATAAACACCCGATGTCACAAAGTGCCACCATGCGGATGAGGATCGCCGTGGAGAGGTCCCAGAAAACGCGTTCAGATATTTGGCCATATTTGGCAAAAGCCAGGGTGGAGCTTCAAATAATAAATTTCATCTTGGAAAGGACAATAGGGGGAAATACAGACTGACTGACTAATCTTGTGGGGGGGGGGGGGGGGGGGGGGGAGGGAATTACTGACTGACTGACTTTCTACCCCACTAGGACATCACACAAGCGATAAACACCCGATGACACAAAGTGCCACCATGCGGATGAGGATCACCGTGGAGAGGTCCCAGAAACCGCGTTCAGACAATTGGCCATATTGATGGCCTGCCTATATTGCTGCCCCTGGCAAAAGCCAGAGTGGGGCTACAAGTAAGAAAAAGGTACGTCCTGAAAACGGCTGACTGACTGACTCTCTACCCCACCAGGACATCACACAAGCGACAAACACCCGATGATACAAAGTGCCACCATGTAGATGAGGATCGCCGTGGAGAGGTCCCAGAAACCGCGTTCAGACAATTGGCCATATTTATGGCCTGCCCATATTGCGGCCCCTGGCAAAAGCCAGGGTGGGGCTTCAAAGAACAAAAAATTTCGTCCTAAAAAGGACGAAATTGAGTAATTAGGCAATGAACCGTCCTGAAAAACTGAACTGAACTGAATTTCTACCCCACCAGGACATCACACAAGCGATAAACACCCGATGACACAAAGTGCCACCATGTGGATGAGGATCACCGTGGAGAGGTCCCAGAAACCGCGTTCAGACATTTGGCCATATATATGGCCTGCCTATATTGCGGCCCCTGGCAAAAGCCAGAGTAGGGCTTCAAATGACAAAAAATTTCGTCCTAAAAAGGACGAAATTGGATATGATTAAACAATAGTCCTGAAAATTGGATTGGCTTTTTACCCCACCAGGACATCACACAAGCGATAAACACCCGATGACACAAAGTGCCACCATGCAGATGAGGATCACCGTGGAGAGGTCCCAGAAACCGCGTTCAGACATTTGGCCATAATGATGACCTGCCTATATTGCGGCCCCTGGCAAAAGCCAGAGTGGGGCTTCAAATAACAAAAAATAACATCCTAACAAGGATGTCACTCAAAAAGTCCTGAAAATGAGTGATTTTCTACCCCACTAGGACATCACACAAGCGATAAACACCCGATGACACAACGTGCCACCATGTGGATGAGGATCGCCGTGGAGAGGTCCCAGAAACCGCGTTCAGACATTTGGCCATTTTTACGGCCTGCCTATATTGCGGCCCCTGGCAAAAGCCAGAGTGGGGCTTCATATAACAAAAAATTACGTCCTAAAAAGGACGTAACTGAGTAGCACAACTAGTCCTGAAAAGTGAGTGAGTGAGTGACTTTCTACCCCACTAGGACATCACACAAGCGATAAACACCCGATGACACAAAGTGCCACCATGTGGATGAGGATCACCGTGGAGAGGTCCCAGAAACCGCGTTCAGACATTTGGCCATTTTTATGGCCTGCCTATATTGCGGCCCCTGGCAAAAGCCAGAGTGGGGCTTCAAATAGCAAAAAATTATGTACTGTAAGCAATGAATAGTTGAGGATTGGATTGGATTTTTTACCCCACCAGGACATCACACAAGCGATAAACACCCGATGACACAAAGTGCCACCATGCGGATGAGGATCACCGTGGAGAGGTCCCAGAAACCGCGTTCAGACATTTGGCCATAATGATGACCTGCCTATATTGCGGCCCCTGGCAAAAGCCAGAGTGGGGCTTCAAATAACAAAAAATAACGTCCTAAGAAGGACGAAAAGCCGAATAGTTGAGATACGTAAGTAAGGTTTATTTACATATGCAATCAAAATAATTATGAGGCAAATAATTGTAATATTTAATACTACATCTTAATCAGACAACTATCAAGTATTCGACTTTTCGAGTGACGACCGTTTTAAACAAAAAACTGCGCATACATATTTCACATAGGTGTAATTTTGTGTGAAATTGATTATGTCGTCTGTTAAAACGTTCTTTGTCACACTTTCTTTACACACAAACCGTGATTGCCTCCCCTTCAAAAATTAGGGGACTTGCTATCTGAACAGCAGTGATAACCTAACTATTCCACTAGTCATACGATAAAGTCACAATAATCACAGCAAACCATGACATAACTAAACCAGTGGGACAACACACATAAAATATGTTACGAGTATACGCAGTCTGTAATTGTCTCATAGGTATGCGTTCGATATTTTTTCCAGGTCATGCCAGTGTTTTAGGAAACGAGCAGGCAGATAAAATGGCCTGGTCTGCAGCACTTGGTGGTATATACTCTAGTCGTCCCCTAAATTAATCCAGTTTCGTCCTTTTTAGGAAGAAATTTTTTGTTATTTGAAGCCCCACCCTGGCTTTTGCCAGGGGCCGCAATATAGACAGGCCATAAATATGGCCAATTGTCTGAACGCGGTTTCTGGGACCTCTTAACGGCGATCCTCATCCACATGGTGGCACTTTGTATCATCGGGTGTTTATCGCTTGTGTGATGTCCTAGTGGGGTAGAAAGTCAGCCAGTCAGTCGTCCCCATGTGGGATGCAATTTTTTTGTTATTTGAAGCCCCGCCAAGGCTTTTGCTGAACATAGCCGGGCCATAAATATGGCCTAACGGCTGAAAGGGGTTTCTGGGACCTCACCACTGGTGATCCTCATCCTCATGGTGGCACTTTGTGTCACCGGGTGTCAATCGCTTTGTGTGATGTCCTGGTGGGGTACAACTTACATACATTCATACCACTTGGTGGTGAATTGATGTATGACAAACTAAATGTTGTGAGGGCCTTTTGGGAGCGAGTTACCAGTGCACAATTAGATCATTACGGTCTGAGGAGAACGACGCTGCGAGAAGTTACCAGGGGATCTGACCGACGCTCAACACTCAAGGGAAGGGCGAGACGGATATACAGACAGTTACTGGTACCATCGGAATTTGAACTCGTCGCTTGTTGCTGGATGGGAACGGAGCACTGATGAGAGTTCCCTGAGTTCTGTGATGTCGATTGTTAGTTCAACATTCAACGGTGTGCATTCATCAAAGTACATTTTTCACTTCTCATTTCTCCTTAGTTGTTGCGAATGCGCTTCGTAATTCCGAGGTACCCAGTTCGATTCCAGCTGCAGGCGATTTGGCAGCAGGCCGCCTCTCGTCGATTTCGACAATGGTATCGAGAGATGACCATTCAAAAAGCAATGACAAACTACTGAACGTTAAACTGTCTTATAATACCAAACAGGTGAACATTCGGGATTGGTTCTGCTACGTCGCGTAAATAAGAGCCAGCTAACCACACACACCCACACACATATAAAACACACACACACACAACAGAGAGAGAGTAAGAGAAGGGAGGGAGGGGGGGGGGGTGGGGGTCATTTACGGTCATGATCCTTGGCTGAACATGAATGAAGTTGTAGCTTTTACAGTGTCTTAA